TGACACCACTTTTTCTGCCTGGGGAATTATATAAGGGGATCAGCGCAGAATAAATTACTTCACTGCCTATTCTGCTTCGTTTCAAACGGGGAAAAGAGCCTATCCGAACCAATTAAAATGGAAATTGGAAAAGACTCTGCTCTAGTCGCATAAATGCATACATAACATTGGGACCACTCCCCCCCCCCCCCCAAGCTCCAAAGGCGAGCCTAAACCCCATTAAAAAGGAAATACGCTTATGGCCCGGGTTATTATAACATCGTTCAGGCTAAACGGCGGCCATTGAACGGATTTGTGGAAGTCGTGATAAGCCTTGAAATGATTTCCTCCTTAGTTTCCAGTCGGTTACAAAACCTAACTGTTGGAGCAAGACTCCCTGGGTTTCATTACTCTGTGGCTCCTGGATAAATCGAGCTACCTTTTGGGAAATACCGGTTTGAGGTTCTCAAATGGGTTGACTATTAAGGCTGCTTTGTTTTTGAAAGAGTATGGTTTTAGAAGATGTCTGTATCATCCCTAAACTTTTGACACAGACAGCGAAGAAACGCGGACATTTCGCGCATTCAAGTCCCCCGGTATCCACGATCACTCGGTTGGAGCTATACTGCCAAAGAAGGCAGTTTGAAGGGAATCATATGGTCAGTGCTGGTCCATATAATGCATCTTGAACTGGCCATATAATAATAATACATTGTATGCTCATGTAGATGGGGCCTTGAAGCTATGGACGAATAATCCGGAATAATAAAGACGGCGCTCGGGTAAAGAAGGAACGGGGAAGAAGGAATCAGCTTCAGCTGCGAGTAGATTACCTGTCTATCAATCGTTGGATCTATCTATGGTTTATCTATCTATCTATTCATCCATTTATCAATCAAACCATCTATCTATCTATTGATCTGTCAATCTATCTATCCAAACAGCTATCTACTATCTAGCCATCCATTTATCCATAGATCTATTTATCTATTGAGCTATCTAGCCACCATTTACTATCTATCTAGGTATCCATCCATTTATCAAACCATCTGTCCATCATCGATTATCTGTCTATTTGTCTATCTATCAAACGTTGGATCCATCTATGGATCCATCTATCCGCTCATGAATCTATCTATCCATCCATCCATCCATCCATCAATCTATCCATTCATTTATCAATACATCTATCCACCTACCGATTATCTATCCATTAAACGTTGGATCAGTCTATGGATCTAGCTATCCATCCATCCATCCATCTCTATCTATCTATCTATCTATCTATCTATCTATCTATCTATCTATCTATCTATCTATCTATCCACTCATGTATCTGTCTATCTATCTATCTATCTATCTATCTATCTATCTATCCATCCACCCATTCATTTATCAATCCATCTATCCATCCACCGATTAACTGTCTATTTATCCATCAAACGTCGGCTCTATCTATCGATCTAGCTTATCCATCCATCCATCCACTCATCCATCTGTCTGTCTATCTATCTATCTATCTATCTATCCATCCATCCATCCATCCATCCATCCATCCATTTATCCATCAGACGACATATTTATCTTCGGATCTATCCATCCACCCATCTACTAGTTATCTATCTATTTATCCAACAAATTTATTTATCAATCTATCCATCCACCGATTATCTATCTATTTATCCACCAAACGATCTTTGATTTTTCTATCCATCCATACATCCATCCATCCATGTATCCATCACACAATCTACCCATCCATTGATCTTGGAACTATCCATCCATCTACTATCTATCTATCTATCTATCTATCTATCTATCCACCCATTCATTTATAAATCCATCTATCTATCATCTATCCAGCTATTTATCCATCAAACGAGATATTTATCGTTGGATCTATCTATGGCGCCATCAATTTATCTATCTATCCATCCATCCACTCATCTATCTATCCATCCGTCCGTCCGTCCGTCCATCCATCCACCGATTATCTATTTATCCATCAAACAATCTATTTATCTATGGCTCTACCGAGCCTTCTACTATTTATCCATCCATCCATCCACCCATTTATCCATCCATTGATCTATCTATCTATCCATTAAATGACATATTTATCTTTGGATCTATCCACCAATCCATCCATCCAGCATCTGTCTGTCTGTCTGTCTGTCTGTCTGTCTGCTCTCTATCTATCTAGTATGCAGTAAGGAAGGCTCTCTCGTCCCTCCCCATTTTGTGAGCCTTCCTTTTGTGAGCCTTCCGAGCCCAACCCCCGAAAAGATCGGGAGAGAGATGGGCCCACGTTGAGCATATAGAGTGCAGGTCAAACTGCATGATTTGGTCGTGTCCATCCAGGCAGGGAGGCTGAGTTGGGCTTTTCCGGCTTGGCTTGCCCCGAAAGGAAAAGGTTTGGGTTTGGGTCACGGAAGAAGAAGCGGGGCTTCCTCTCTCTCTCTCTCTCTCTCCCCTCCTCGAGAGTTCCGCTTCACACGCTGGGGCGAAAACCCATCCCCCTCCCGTCCCCGAAGGGACCGACGCGGCCCATTAAGTCCCGATCAGGAGCTATTAATAGGAGGGGGAGGCACCCGGCAGAGGAGGAGGAGGAGGAATTCAGGCCAGACCCCCCCCCCCCCGCTTCCTCCGCACGATTGGCTCCAAGGTCTTGCAACGGGTTGTAAATTGAACGGAGGAGGAGGCGGAGAGGATAGGGCCAGCCTCCCTCCCTCCTTCCCTCCGCCTGACGGATGGCGCCTTCCTCAGCCCCTCGTTCATCTCTCTCCGTGTTTTCTGGGCCGATAAGAAGGAAGGCAGGGAGATGGCCCTCCTCCCTCTGTCTCGTCCCGGCACAACACCACAACACACACCCGGATAAATCTGGGTCTTGGAGGAGTTACGACGTCGGGTGGCAAACGGGGATAGAAATATATAGTAGGAGATCTAAAACACCGGGTGTCTTTCTCGTCTAAAATATGGTTTTTCTCTCTCTTTCTCTCTCACACACATATACCCACACACATATACATCTATCCTATCTGCTGTCTGTCTGTCTATCTATCCATCTACGAATATATATGAAACCTTATCTGTCTAATCTATATGTATGTGGGTACAGATGGTTTTATAGACAGGTAGATTGATGGATATGGTGCTATGTATATTCTATAGACAGACAGACAGACAGACAGACAGATAGATATGGTGTTATATATATTCTATAGACGGATAGATAGATAGATAAATAGATAGATAGATATGGTATGTATATTCTATCTGTGGATATGGTTATATATATATGCCATATTAATAATAATAAAATAAATATTTATAATATATAATATTATAATGTGTATTCATAATATATAATACTATATAATATGTATAATATATATATTCATAATATAATATTATTTATAATATTTATAATACATAATATATAATAAATAACATAAATAATAATAATAATAATAAGATTTAAATATACATAAGACCAACTCTATCACTTCAGTGTCGCTATCTATCTATCTGATTTTACAGATAGATAGTTCTAGATATACATCATATCTATCACCACAGTTTATATTTATTATATCTCTATATAACCATATCCGATCTATCTATATGATTTTACAGATATATCATGGTTCCATACACAGACACAGACACACACACACACACACACACACAGAGTCATGTTTCCAAAAGGCTATGGAGATTCCTGGTTTTCTAAAAGGTTATGATCTCTAAAAGGTCATGCCTTTCCAAAAAAAAACAAACAAACCCCAAATTGTAAACAAGAAACATTCCTTGAACTCTTATCAAAGCTTAGAAAAATTGATTTAGAAATGCAATTGATCTGGAATTGCAAAAGATAAAGATATGGAGCATGCATAGCATGCAATAACTTACACACACATCATATCTATTACCACAGTTTATGTATATTATATCTACATATTATATCGATTAATTGATCAATCGGATCTATCTATAGATATGATTATATATATACATACAAACCATATAAATGTATCTCCATATATATTTATTTACAATAATATCTATAAATATACAAATAACCATATCTATATCTATATTTATAAATATGTAATCTATAAAAATAACTATATCTATAAATATATAAATAACCATACCTATATGTCTATGAACGCACACACATCTAGGTAAATGTATACGTATAGGCACATATCTATCTCTCTATCTAATTCAGGCATGGGCAAACTTGGGCTTTCCAGGTGTTTTGGACTTCAACTCCCACCATTCCTAACAGCTTCATGCCCCTTCCTTTTCCCCCTCAGCCGCTTAAGTGGAGGGGAAAAGGAAAGGGCCTGAGGCTGTTAGGAATGGTGGGAGTTGAAGTCCAAAACACCTGGAGGAAGGGCCCAAGTTTGCTAGACCTGATCTATATAATGTTTTTCTTTTGGAGGTGGCAGGGAAGCGAAAGGGTCTGCCTCTTTCCTCCTGAGACCAACCCACTCCTGAAAAGCTACCTCCCAGCCTATCCTATGCCAGTCTGATTGCCCCCCTCCCTGCCCGCCCTCCTAGGGGCCTCCATAATAAAGCAAGCACCCCTCGCCCGCCTCCTGGTGCCCACCCGAGCCATTCATTCTCTGACATCAGCCAACCCATCCAACTTTTATCTTCCATATTGAATCTTCCCGCCCGTTCCACTGCTGCCCAGCAGATGGCGCCAGAGCGACGCCGCTCGGAGGGAAGCAAGCGGGGAGATGGCAAAACCACGCTGCCCCCACTTTATTCCCCAAACGAATTTGGGGGCGCGGGTGACCCCTGCCTCGCGAAGGAGGGCGAGAAGGGGAGGGGAGCCTTCCCCCCACCCCCTCCCCTTTATCTGGAGACAAAAGTAGTACCCTACTTTCCTTGGCGAGCCAAGCAAGCAAGCGAGATCATCCAAGGAAGGGGCCGGGGAAGGAGAGAAAGAATGGGGAGACAGAGAAAAGGTAGAAGCAGATGGCCACACTTCCCTTCTTTCCACTTACCGCATATCTTGAGCCCAATCTTCTTGGTGCAGCCATGGGCCACCCCGCACCAGGTGTCATAGGCTGAAAGGAACGGAAAGGAACGAGTTAGGAAGGAATAGACACATGGATAAGCCCCGACTTAGACAGCTACGTCCATGGAATAGAATTGAATGACTTTATTGTCATTGGGTTGTTGTGAGTTTTCCCGGCGGTATGGTCCTGCTCAAGAAGCATTCTCTCCTGACATTTCGCCTGCATCTATGGAATTGTAGGAGTCGAATTCCAAAACATCCGGAGGATGCCTGTCATAGATGTGGGTGAAAAGTCAGGTGAGAATGCTTCTGGAACAGAGCCATACAGCTCTTCTGCTGTGTTTTTATGAGCGATGGTCACTCATTGGCCTGATAAGTGTATTGTGTCCAAATTTGGTGTCAATTCGTCTTGTAGTTTTTGAGTTATGTTAATCCCACAAACGAACATTACATTTTTATTTATATAGATTGTCGAAGGCTTTCGTGGCCGGAATCACTGGGACAGCGAATCACCTCCCAACAAAGGTCTCCCCCAGGCAGTAAGAAGCCACACCTTGAAACTGCTAGGCCATTAAATGCTAATCAAGGTGGCCAATTGAAACATTCACACCTAGCTCCAACAGACAAGAGTTTTTCCCCCCACCCTGATCTATATAAACCCAATTTTCCTAGTTTTCAACAGACCTCACACCCTCCGAGGATGCCTGCCACAGATGCAGGCGAAACGTCAGGAGAGAATGCTTCTGGAACATGGCCATATAGCCCGAAAAACCTCCAACAACCCAGAAATATATTGTTCGATTATAATGGCAAGAGAGGTTGGATCTACACTGCAGTGTATGGTCAGTGTAGACCCCTATAATGTGTAGGTAGGGGATCTACACTCATCCTATAATGAGGAAAATGGGGAAGAGACCAGCTGAGAGAGAAAAGAGAGAGAGAGAGAGAGCTGACAATCTCGCACTCATGTCTTGGCGCCGCTCCAGGAGAGTGGCAGCTTAAAATAAACTGGCATGAAATGGGGTCAGGGAAGAGTTCAGGAATTAATTGGGTGAAAAATAGTATTTGACTAGATGATCGGACTTGCATGGCTGGGCTGCAGGCGGGCTCAGGAGCCCCCAAGGCGGGTCTCTAAGCCCCCCTCCCCTCTTTTAGGGTGCCTCCACACTGGAGAGTGAATGCGGGTTGACAACACTTTCACCCCCACGCACCAGGGCCCTTCCACACAGCCCTATATCCCAGAATGTCAAGGCAGAATAACCCACAAGAATGGAACTGGGTTCTCTGAGTCCACCCTCCCATATGCCCCAGTTCAAAGCAGAAAATGTGGGGTTTTATTTAGTTGTGTGGAAGGGGCCTCGGTGCTGTGGCTTTGCAACCTTTCTTGGTGCCTCGCCCAACTCCAACCCCTGCTATTCCATAGCAGTTAAAGCGCTTCAAACTGCACTAATTCGACAACGTAGATGCCACCCAATGTCTCCCTCTGAAAGAAAAACAAACAGGGAAAGGGCTCGGAAGGGAAACGAAAACAAAGGAACGCCCCCTCGCCTTTCCCCCCAAAAGACTCAAAGCACTTCTTTAAAGTGTCAAGAGAAGGAAAGGACCGAGACTTGATTTCCCAGAGGAGCCAAAGGCTCTGGGAAGAGAAGCCAAGGGGAAATGTTCAGGGAGGCTCCCGTTTAAGGAGATGAAAGCGCCATTTGGTTTTTTTTTCCTGCAATGCTAAGGCACTGAAACAGCACAGGGCTAAGGCTTCCTCCCTCCCTTCCTTCCTTCCTCCTTTCCTTTCCTTGCTTCATTTCTTTTTTCTTCCTTTCTTCTCCTTCCTTCCTTCCTTCCTTCCCTTTTTCCATCTTTCCTTCCTTTCTTCTTTCCTTCCTTCTTTTCTTCTTTCCTTCCTTCTTTTCTTCTTTCCTTCCCTCTTTCCTTCCTTTCTTCTTTCCTTCCTTCCTTCTTTCCTTCCTTCTTTCCTTCCTCCCTTCCTTCTTTCCCCCCTTTCCTGCCTTCTTTCCTTCCTTCTTCTTCCTCCCTCTTTCCTTCCTTCTCCTTTCCTTCCTTCCTTCCTTCCTTCCTTCCTTCTTTTCTTCCTCCCTTCCTTCTTCCCCCCTTTCCTGCCTTCTTTCCTTCCTTTCTTTTTTCCTTCCTTCTTCTATTACTTCCTTCTTTCCTTTCTTCCTTCTTTCCTTCCTCCCTTCCCGTCCTACCTTCCTTCCTTTCAAAATAATAATAGTATTTGAAACTCAAAGCGTCTGTTGGTGGTCTTATTTATGGGAAATGCCTTTCGGAATTAATAGGAAATTTGCTAGGTTTTAAACACACACCAGAAAGAAATTAGTAAGAGAAAGGAATGGGGGGATTTCTTCTGTGAGTGAGAGCTCTCGGGGGCGAGATGAAATATCTTCTGCAATTAGGGGAACACACAACAAGAATCTCTTAGGGGATCCGCAGCGGTGCATTTACACTGCAAAATTAATGCAGTCAACACCACTTAATTTTTGTGTGTGTCAGGACTGCAAGTCGCTTCCGGTGTGAGAGAATCGGCCGTCTGCAAGGGAGTTGCCTAGGGCACGCTTTTTCCATCCTGTGGGAGGCTTCTCTCATGTTCCCGCATGGGAAGCTGGAGCTGATAGAGGAGAGCTCACCCCACTCCCTGGATTAGGTCAGCAGTCCTGCCGGCACCATTGCACCACCTGGGGCTCCACCAAGTTAATAAACAAGACTCAATGCTATGGGATCCTGGGATCAGTAGTTTGGTGAGGCACCATCCCACAAAGAAAGGCTTTGAAAAGCCCCACCTCCCAGGGTTCCATAGCTTAAGTGGGGTCAACGCTGCCCTGGGGCAAAGGGGCCTCTGGTGGGCGCGGCCTGAGGGGAAGTGGGCGTGGCGCGCGTTGGCCCCGCCCCCGCCCCCCGCTGTGCCGCCTTTCCCCTGCAGGGGGCGCGCTGGGCAAGGAGAGGCAAGAAAGGAACAGAAGAATAAAAGAACTAGGAACGCGTTTTCGAAGCTGGAACGGGGAAGGGCTTGAAGAAAACGGGCTCTGGAAAAAGAACCCTTTGGAATCGGGCTACAAGTGAGAATGAGTCTGCACTGTACGATTAAGGCGGCTCGACACCCTTTCCCACCGAAATGAGGGGGGAAATAAGAGAGGCAAAGGAGTAAGCTGCAAATCTCAGGGTTCCATAGCCCTGGATATTGAAAGTGGTGTCGAACCGCATTCGTTCCTGGGCGTAGATCAAAGAAGAAAAGGTGATGGAGGAGAAGGTTGCTTCAGGTGACAGAGGTGACCACGAAGGACGTGGAGAGGACAACAGAAAGGGAGGGGAGGGAGGGATGAGAGGGAAATGGATGGAAGGAAGGAAGGCAAAGAAAGGAAAGGCTCGCGCACGAGCACGCGCCCGCTCCCCTGCCCGCCCGTCGGGAAACAATAGGCACGGCGGGTGGCGCGAGCGCGGGAGCAAAAGGCGCGCCCCTTCTTTGGGGCTTGATTATGATTTTCCTTCCTTTAAAGGGACCCTCTCATTACCAATGTCGATTCAATACACCCCCCACCACACACTTCCAATGTTATTCTCTATTTCCTCACGGGAAAACAAAACCAAACGGAGAATTCCCACTCGTAAAACCCCCTCCTATTATATTTATGGTGGTGAAGATGGTGATGCTCCAAGGGAAGCCACCCACCCAAGGGAGACCCACACACAAAACGAAGGAAGGAGCTCTTTTCCTTCGATGGAGGAGAGAAGAAGCATCGCCGCTGTCATGACGGGCTCGAAGATCTTCACGCTTCACAAGCCCGGCATTTCTGCCAGGGCAAAAAAGCAAGAGATGGGCGACGGTTCCCCTCCCTCCGTCACCCTCCCTCCATCACCCTCACCCCACTCTCCTCCGTCTGTTTGTCGCCCGTGGTTCTGTCGCTCTATTTATTGCATGGCACCCCCCTGAGATGGCTTTTTGTTGTTGTTTTGGAGGGTTTCTTTCACTGAAATGGCACTAAACCGTCTCAGGCTATGTATTGTCGGAGGCTTTCATGGCCGGAATCACTGGCTTGCTGTGAGTTTTTCGGGCTGTCTGGCCATGTTCCAGAAGCACTCTCTCCTGACGTTTCACCCACATCTATGGCAGGCATCCTCAGAGATTGTCAGGTCTGTTGGAAACTAGGAAAATTGAGTTTATATATCTGTGGATTAATTTCCAGGCTGGAAGAAAGGCATATGACTTTTCCGGGCTGCGTGGCCATGTTCCAGAAGCATTCTCTCCTGACGTTTCGCCTGCATCTATGGCAGGCATCCTCAGAGGGTGTGAGGTCTGTTGGAAACTAGGCAAGTGGGGTTTATGTATCTGTGGAATAATGTCCAGGGTAGGAGAAATAACTCTTGTCTGTTCGGAGGTAGGTGTGAATGTTTAAACTGGCCACCTTGATTAGCGCTGGGTTGTTGTAGGTTTTTCGGGCTATATGGCCATGTTCTAGAAGCATTCTCTCCTGACGTTTCGCCTGCATCTATGGTAGACATCCTCAGAGATTGTGAGGTCTGTTGGTTTCCAATTTTGGTTAGCATTGATATGTTTCCAACAGACCTCACAATCTCTGAGGATGCCTGCCATAGATTCACGCGAAACGTCAGGAGAGAATGCTTCATTATCATTATCATTATTATTGAGTTGCTGTGAGTTTATATATCTTTATATATATACACACACATATACATATATACATATATATCTATATATAGTTTTTAGGCAAGTGGGGTTTATATATCTGTGGGATGTCCAGAGTGGGAGAAAGGACTAGTGTCTGCTTGAGGCAAGTGTAAATGTTGCAATTGGCAAGATAAATTAGCATTGAATATGTTTCCAAAAGACCTCACAACCTCTGAGGATGCTTGCCACAAATGTGGGCGACACGTCAGGAGAGAATGCTTCATTATTATTATTGCTATTATTGGGTTGATGTAAGTTTTATATCTCATATATATATATGTGTGTGTGTGTGTGTGTGTGTGTATGAGATATAAAACTTACATCAACCCAATAATAGTAATAATAGTTTTTACTCACTTGCATGCATATATATATATATATATATATATATATATATATACACCTCCCTCTTGCATGCATATATATATATATATATATATGCATGCAAGTGTGGTTTATATATATGTCCAGGGTAGGAGAAAAGACTCTCGTCTGTTGCAGGCAGGTGTGAATGTTGCAATTGACCAGCTTGATTGACATTGACTATGTTTCCAACAGACCTCACAACATCTGAGGATGCCTGCTATAGATGTGGGCGAAACATCAGGAGAGAATGCTTCATTATTATTATAATTATTGGGTTGCTGTGTGTCTATGGTATTAGATGTTTGCCATGTATGTGTACATTGTAATCCGCCCTGAGTCCTCTGTGGGGTGAGAAGAGCGGAATAGAAATACTGTAAATAAATAAATAAGTATATTGGGGGGGGGGGAGAGTTTTATAGGCAAGTAGGGTTTATAACGTTGGAATGTCCAGGGTGGGAGAAAGGCCGCTTGTCTGCCCGAGGGAGGTATAAATGTTGCCATTGGCCACCTAGATTAGCATTGAATGGCCTTGCAGTTTCAAGGTCTGGCTGCTTCCTGCCTGGGGGAATCCTTTGTTGGGAGACGATTAGCTGGCCCTGATAGCTTCTTGTCTGGCTCAGGCTCCTCTCTCTTCCTCCCATTGAGTCCTTCCTAAAGAGGGACAGACACAGTTTGGCTTCCATTCGCAGCCTCCCCTCTTTCCCTTCGTCCCAGGCTCTTTTCAGGAAAGGACAGATTCTGCCACACGGAAGGATTTCTAACCCACCCACCCACCTCCTCAAGTCTATCAGGAATCATCCATAGGGAGCTGTATGATCCTCTCGCCTCCCTATCCATCCCTTCCCGTTTTGAGCTCATGCATCAGGTCCATCTCAGAGGTTTGGCTCCCATTTCCTCCTCCTTTTGTCGGGCAAGGGGGTGTGCAGGGAGGCATCCAAAGCGGGTCTTCCTCTCGCGCGTTTGGGGCGGAACGAAAGCGGCACGAAGGTGGAACGAAGCCCCCTCCCCTTCCCCCTCCCTCTTCTCCCCATGGTGACCTACTTGTGGGTCTGAGGCTGGCGGTGTTGGGGTCCTGGGCCGCGTCGGAGGCGGCGGCGGAGGAGGGGGGCTCCGAGGCTGCCATGAGGCTGGGGCGAGTCCAAGCCCCGCGAGCCCGGCGTCGCTTCCGTCCAGGAGACCCTCAAGGCGAAGAGGAGGAGGAGGAGGAAGAGGAGGCGCGGCTGCAAGGCAAAGCGAGAGGGTTGGAGATAAGAGAGGCGATAGAAGGAGGAAGGAATACAGCGGGAGGGGTGTCCAGTCGCGCCCCCCGCCCGCCTTTGTCTCCCCAGAAGCCTTCGATGGGAAAGGAAGCGGCCAAAGGCGAAGGGGAGTGGGGTGGATGGGGCTGTGGCACAAAGAGGAGGAGATGAGGGGATGAGGAGACCCTTCCTTCCTCCCCAGAGGCGACGGGCCTGGAGACCCCCCCTTTCCCGCCCCCCTTCACTTGCCTTTTTCCAAATGCCAGACAAAAGCGGGAGGGAGGGAAGGAGAGAGGAAGACGGAGAGCGCCTCAATGGGTTTTCTAAGGCGACGCTGCGAGAGGCGGGAAAGGGAAGAGGAAGGGAAGGCTGTCTGGACAGAGCTGGCGGCGAGGAAGAGGAGGAGGGGGAATAGGAAGAGGATCACGCCTCTCTCTGGGCTCTGGGGAAAGGGAAGGGAGGGGAAGAAGAAGAGGAAGAAGAGAAGAGGGGGAGGGGGAGGAAAAAGGCGAGGAAGAGGACGAAGAGCAGGAGGAGGAAGATCACGCCTCTCTCTGGGTTCCAGGGAAGGGAGGGGGAAGAAGAGGAAGAAGAGAAGAGGAGGAAAAGGAAAAATGCGAGGGAGAAGTGGAAGAGGAGGAAGATGAGGAGGATCACGCCTCTTTCTGGGTTCCAGGGAAAAGGGAGGAAGGGGAAGAGGAGGAAGACGAGAAGAGAAGGAGGAGGAAAAAGGTGAGGGAGAGGAGGAAGAGGAGGAGGATCACACCTCTCTCTGGGTTCCAGGGAATTGGAAGCGGGGGGGGGGGGGAAGAGGAAGAAGAGAAGAGGAGGAGGAGGAAAAAGGCGAGGGAGAGGAGAAAGAGGAAGAGGAGGATCACATCTCCCGGGGTTCCAGGGAAAGGGAGTGGGAGGAAGACGAGGAAGAAGAGGAAGAAGAGAAGAGGAACAGGAGGAGGAGGAGGCAAAAGGCGAGGGCGAGGAGGAAGAAGAGGAGGAGGAAGAGGAGGAAGATCACGCCTCTCTGGGCTCCGGATAAAGGGAAAGGAAGAGAGCGGGAGGAAGATGATGAAGAGGAGGAGGAGGATGGTGATCAAGAGGGAAAGAAGAAGAGGAAAGGGAAAAAGGAAGAAGAAAGCGAGGAAAAGAAATGGAGGAAGGAGTCGAAGAGGAGAGGGAGGAGGGAAAAAAGGAGAAGGAGGAGGAAAGGCTCCTCCGGGAGGAACTCCTCAGCGTCGCTTCCACGCCCCGAGGGGACAAAGCCACGTCCCCGGAGAACAATAGGCCAGACAATAGGAGAGCAAGAGGGTGTGTGTTCAGTATCTAGTGCTGTTGTTGTTGTTGAGAAGGATGGCATCCCCAAGCAAGATCTATCATTCGGGAGGAACGAATGGTGTGTCGGCCAGGTTTAGGAGATGGATGGCTGGTCCAGCTTTGGTTGGCTGCCTTTCCCGCCCGGGATTGATGAGGAGGCGACACACATCGCCTCTTCGGTGGGACTCGGGAATGCGGAGGGAGACCGACACACGCCCTGCACCAGTCCACACCTGTGCAGACACACAGAGGGAGAGAAAGCAAGGCGGGAAGCGGGGAGGAGCAGGAGCCCAGTGGACCTTGGGGCGCTTGCCTTCCCCAGCTCCGAGGCGTCGCTCTGCTCTCCCTCCTCTACGTCCAGACGGTTTTTCTAGGCTTTGGTTGGGGAGAGCACCTTCTCCATTCTGATTAGTTGTCCACGCCACGCTGCCTTTCCCCCCAGGCTCCTTCTCACGCGAGGAGGGGGAAATCCAAGGAAAGGCCCCACAGGGAGGGTATCATTCCATAGAGAAAAGTTTCCCTGTCAACAAACACCTTCTGGAATGGGAAAGCACTTCTCTCTGTCTCTATTTGTATGTGTCTGCTGCCCAGCTAGAGTTCGGGGGGCCGAGTTATTATTATTATTATTACTATTATTATTATTACTACTATTATTATTACTATTATTACTGAGTTGCTGTGAGTTTTCCGGGCTGTTTGGCCGTGTTCCAGAAGCATTCTCTCCTGACATTTCGCCCACATCTATGACAGGCATTCTCAGAGGTTGTGAGGTGTGTTGGAAACTAGGCAAGTGGGGTTTATATATCTGTGGAATGTCCCGAGTGGGAGGAAGAATTCTTCTCTGCTTGAGGCAAGTGTGAATATCGCAATTGGCCACCTTGATTAACATTGAATATGTTTCCAACAGACCTCTCAACCATTGAGGATGCCTGCCTTAGATGTGGGCGAAACGTCAGAAAAACTTCGTTATTATTATTATTATTATTACTATTATTATTATTATTATTTTACTGACACAAAAACACAGTATATAATAGCAAATGAGATCTATATGCTGGATTTCGTATCACAAAATCACAAGCGTCTAGGACTGTGTGATGTATTATTATTATTATTATTATTATTATTATTATTATTATTATTATTGGATTGCTGTGCGTTTTATGCATCTTATCCTCTCTCTCTCTTTTATATGTCAGCTTCACAGCACATTATTTGGGAACACAGAAGTGCTGGACCACTCTAACTACCACCATCTCAGATTACACAGAGAAGAAAATCCACAAGCATGTGGACAATTTCAACAGAAAGGAGGAAACCATGAAAATGGACAAAAACAGGCTACCAGTATTAAAAAAAACTCTAAAATCAGACGGTAAATAATGGACTTGCAGCTTCAAAGCCTGGCTGAATGTTGCCTGGGGGATTCTTTGTTGGGAGGACAGTAAATAAAGAAAACAGGGGAATTCCAGACAAGAATCAATGAAGGCCAGCGAACACCGCCCAACAAAGGAGTACCCTAGGCAGCAATTAGCCAGGCTTTGAAGTTGCAAGGCTATTCAATACTAATCAAGGTGGCCAATTGTAACATTCACACTTGCCTCGAGCAGACAAAAGTTCTTTCTCTCACCCTGGACATTCCTCAGCTATATAAACCAATTGTCTAGTTTCCAACAGACCCCTCAACCTCTAAGGATGCCTGCCGTAGAAGTGGGCGAAACGTCAGGAGAGAATGCTTCTGGAACATGGCCAGACAGCCCGGAAAACTCACAGGGACCCAGTGATTCCGGCCATGAAAGCCTCCCACAACACATTATTATTATTATTATTATTATTATTAAATTATTATTATTAAATTATTATTATTAAACCATCATTATTAAATTGTTATTATTAAATGATTGCATAACAAGATTAGTGCATAGCAAACAAGATCACTCTGCTGGCTTTTGTATTTGAACACACGTCGGACCCTTCCCAGGTGTCTAGGGCTGTGTGATGTATCAGCGAATAATGGGAACAGAACCAAGTAGGGTAGCCTTTTGCAGCTGACAGCTGGTAATTTTGTTAGCTCAGATTGTTTTTCAGTGCAGGCCAAGGTCTTTAGGCACTGCACCCAGTGTGCCCATCACCACTGTGACCACCTTGACTGGCTTGTGCCAGAGTCTTTGCAGTTCTATCTCTAAATCCTCATCTCGTGTAAGCTATTATTAATTATTATTATTATTATTATTATTATTATTATTATTATTATTATTATTATTATTATGAGAACAGTAGAAAGTATGGAGTGGATCTACACATATGCTGCCAAAACTGTGTTGTTTTTTTCCGTGTCAGGAGCGACTTGAGAAACTGCAAGTCGCTTTTGGTGTGAGAGAATTGGCCGTCTGCAAGGACGTTGCCCAGGAGACGCCCGGATGTTTTGATGTTTTACCATCCTTGTGGGAGGCTTCTCTCATAGAATCATAGAATTGGAAGAAACCTCATGGGCCATCCAGTCCAAACTCCTGCCAAGAAGCAGGCAAATCCCATTCAAAGCACCCCCGACAGATAGCCATCCAGCCTCTGTTTAAAAGCTTCCAAAGAAGGAGCCTCCACCACACTTTGGGGCAGAGAGTTCCACTGCTGAACGGCTCTCACAGTCAGGAAGTTCTTCCTCGTGTTCAGATGGAATCTCCTTTCTTATAGTTCGACGTCTCCATATGGGGAGCTGGAGCTGACAGAGGGAGCTCACCCACCCTCTCCCCGGATTGGAAAACTGTAGTGTACAGTTCCAATAAAACGGATGATAAAAAATGGAGGATATAACAACAATAACAACAATTTACAGACCATAATTTGAAAACTAGCAGACATCCTAAGCACGGAAGGCCGAGAGCTCAGCTGGAAGCGAAGTAACAGGTTCGCCCTCTTCTATTTCCAGCTCTGTTTTGAGATATTTCCTAGGCAAAGTCATCCTTTCTCCAGTAACATAGTATTTCAAACCTCAGGGGGGAAGAAAAAGAATTTATTTGGTCACAAAAAGATGGAAAAAGGTCCCTCCTTACCTGCCGAAATTCAAGAGTCTCCAAGAGGCAGTAAGTGGCGAAATCCCCGCCTGGGAAGGCTGGGCGCTTATAAAGTCCTCCGCGCACGACGTCGGGACACGAAGGGATGTAATTCGAGGTGACCCCTTCCTTCCTTCCTTCCTTCCTTCTTTCCTTCCTCGCCTCCAGCCCCCACAGCCCCCCCTTTCCCCTCCCTCGGTTTAGGCTTGGCTTGGCTGTCTCCAAAGCGTGAATCCTCGTCGGCTGATCTCTTGCGACGCAGGCATGAGTCACTCCCTCCGCGCTGGGCTCCGAATTGGGGAGGAAGAGGCAGCTGGGGGCTGGGGAGGGAGGGCAGGGAGGAAGGAAGGAAGGGGAGGAAGGGGGAAGGAGAGAGGAAGGCGGACAGGAGGACGCAGGGGCCTCCCAGGGAAGGCGACGCTGGAGGTGCTTGGCTCGCACTGGAGCCATCACCACCCTAGAGAAGACCATCCCAGGGACAGGCAAGAAGAGGGAAAGGGAGAGGCTGCTGCCCACGAGAGTCTTGAGAGGAGAACAGCCTTTCCTTGTTTTTTCTTAGACGGAAGAGCTGCCCTTCACCAAGTTTCTTTCCATCTCCAAAGTTT